GTATGGTATGGTATGGTATGGTATGGTATGGTATGGTATGGTATGGTATGGTACGGTAGGGTTTGCTTACCTTCGGGCAAGGGTGGCATCCTTCGGGTCGCGTTCCTCGTAGATCACCGTGCCTGCACCATGCTTGGCGTTCATTCGGTCCGCAAGCTCGGACAGCTGTTCAACAACCAGACACACAGAGAGAGAGAGAGAGAGAGAGAGAGAGAGAGAGAGAGGGCAAGAGACAGAAAGACGAGAGAGAGAGACAGAGAGAGAGAGAGAGAGAGAGAAATGAATAGAGAGGACGGGCGGACACGCACAAAACCACGTCATTCACAGCGCGACAGGATGCCCCCCAGACACACATCTTGACACAACTATCCAGCCCCCTTGCAACCACACACACGCGTACAGTAGCACGCTGTACTCGTAGACGTTATCCGAGACTGGATGCTTGTGAAAGCCTAAATCAACACTAATTCGCAAACGTTTTCCAGATACTTGACGTTGTGAAAGCCTACATGAATGATCGGCGCTCACCAGGCGTCCGTCTTTTGCCAATGGAACTCCCTTGCGTTCTGAATACATAGCTGCTTGGCAGCAAATCCCAAAAAAATGCCACGAGAGGCAGCGAGCAACCATTCTTTAGCCCGAACTACAATAGGTCAAGCTGGAACGCAGTGGCATGTCATGATAATGATTCTCAAAAACTGGAAAACCAAAAATATCCCCCCCCCCAAAAAAATACAACCGACCATACTATTTATGCATGTGAATCGCTGCTATGGGTGTTATTGATATGTTGCCAACTCCATGACCACCGACGGGGTTCTCACCGACTCTTGGCATGCCCGGTAGTCGCTCCCCCTAGCCGGATTGGCGATACCCACCTCGTGCATGCTCACTCTGTCAGAGCGAACACAATGGTCCATGCAAAACGGGAGCATGAAAAAGAGCTCATCAGGAACAAGGCGCTACTGCTGTACGTTGGTCTGTTGCCGTCGCCCAAATAACATGAATCACGTTCACATTGGAGCATTCAAAAGCCGCCACGGCCCCATCATCAGCAGCAGCCACCGCCGCCGCCGCCGCAGCAGCAGCAGCGATCTCACCGATCCCGGTGCGGAAATCGAATGAAATTATTCCGTTCTTGTTTCTTCGTTCGCACCCCGGTGCCATCTCCCCGACCAGTTCCATCTCTTCTCCTACGGTACTTTAGCAATAAAACCGTCACAGCCTCCTCGTCACCACCACCACCACCACCATCAGCTGCAGCCGCCGCAGCAGCAGCAGCAGCAGCCGCAGCAGCAGCAGCACCCCAAGCTACAATAGGTCAGCTCACCTCCCGACCAGACCCGGGTACCGCCTCAGCATGTCCTCGAACGCCAGGAGCTTGAGCCACACACCCTTGATCTTCTCCACCCTCTCCACCCCCGCCACCACGACGCGATCGCCGTGTAGACCGGTCAGGCGGTCCACTTCCTCCCTCGAGCCCTCTTCTCGAAGCGAGGCCCTGACGGCGTCCGGGTCTACTCCGGCGTGTCTGGCCGTCAGGATTGTCGGCTTCGCTCCGTGTACGATCTGGACCAATCCCGTCTGTTGCAGTACGGAGAGAGAGGAAGAGGAAGAGGGAGGGGGAGAGGGAGAGGGAGAGAGAGAGAGAGAAAGTGAGGCAGAGAGAGAGAGAGAAAGTGAGGCAGAGAAAGGGAGAGAGAGAGAGAGAGAGAGAGAGAGAGAGGCAGAGACAGGAACGAGCTTGACCAGAGATCAAGAGAGAGAGAGGTGGCTCAACCCCAACCCAACGAAAGAAAAAAAATGCCCTATTTATGTTGCAAAAATTGTTCCAAAAAAATATGAACAGGGCCTTGGCGCGACGACGTGCAGGCACAAGCCGGCGGGAGAAGCTGGGGTGGTCGACACCCGATGGTGGGCTAAACAAGTTGCATTGCATTATCGCATCCGCCTCCCCGCGACCCTCAAGCGACGCTCCTAAGCATGTTTTTTCTTCCCTACAGGTATTGTAGCGGGCCAACCGCTTCTGTCTATCCAACGAGATTTTCGAAACGGGGCGCTACCACAGCCCGTGAGAACAACTCGTGAACGGAATACTGGGGCTAAATTATCCGCTTTCCCTACAAAAAGCGCTCCGTCCCGGCCCTGTAGGGATTCGATGTCAATGGTCCAACGACTTACTATTCGGCATGAACGGCGATCGGTACACACCCCCTCTTCAAACAAAAACAGAGGAGCCCAAGCCAGAGGCCGCTCTTCTCTTTTCGGGCCACGGTGCGTACAGCACTATTAATAGTGGTCAGTGCACGTCATGGCGGCCGCACCTCTTGGCTGTGAAGGTGAGTGAGGCCCAGCAGTCGGCGGCAGGACGTCATGAAGTGCTGGCTGTCTGAGAACCGGTGGAACCCAACCTGGGCAAGGAGAGAGGGGGATCGATCGCGCTATTTCATCTGATCAGCAAGGCTCTGACTGACGCAACAAGACTCATTCTATGACATAGCAAAGCTACTTGTTGATGAAACACACCTGATCCGCAAGGCCAGACTGACAGAACAAAATCCATCAGTGCCACTGAACACACCTGGTCAGCAAGGCTTCACTGACGCAACCACACCATGCATGCTCCTCGTTGATAAACACTCCTGATCAGCAAGGCTTGACTGACAGAACAACATCCATCAATGCTACTTGTTGATCAACACCTGACCAGCGCGTTGACAGACGCAACAAAACACATGTATGCTACGGCTACTCGTTGGTGAACACGCCTGATCAGCAAGGCTTGACTGACGCAACGACACCCATGTATGCTGTGGCTACTTGTTGATGAACACACCTGATCAGCGCCGAGCATCCCCCGGAGGAGATCTTCTCTGTGGGGCAGAGCGCGAAACACTTCGCCGGGGGGGAAGGGGGTGTGCAGGAATAGTCCGATGCGAGCAACCTGCGGAGCCCCCGGACCCAGCGGAAGCACACAATCAGCTACTCTCTTTCATGGTTTGATCTTTTTTGCATGGGATAACTCAGCCGTGCGTGACAGACACCACAAGCGGTCGATATCATCATGCAAGGAAACACGTTCAGCGATAACACTTTTTAGAGTCGTGCGTTCAACAGCAGGCGTTGTGTGTCAAGCCAGGGGACATACTTGGCATGACAACCGCTAGTTAGTATGGCTGGTCTGCACGCTAGTCTCGAAACGGCAAGCTGCAATGCAACGAAATTTCATGCTCATTTTTTACAGCCGCGGAAAAAACCACCTCGGTGTTGCGACTTGACCCCCCCCCCCCCCTCCCAGTAGGAAGGGCTTTTCAGCTGTCCCTCCTTAGGATGAAAAAAAAAAACACACCCCACCCTTGTACAAACACATTCTGCGTGCCCCCCAATAACCGAGAAGGCACAGGCCGTATGGCGAGTAGCACACTGCGAGCCACGGTGGTACACCGACGGATTGGTAAGGAAAGAAACACACATGCAAAGGTGTGTCCTGCGTAACACCGATTTCATTGGTGACGTCACCATCGCAAACCGATGGATTGACGACGAAATAATCACTGCTAATCTAATCTAATCTACCACGGACTCTTCTCTTATCTGTGGAAGAGCTGGATTTTTTGTGTTATTTGTAAGAAAAAGAAGAATAACACATCAAAAGGCGTGACTTTTGTTGGTGACGGTCACCTTGACAGTCCTGTCGAGGAATGCCGGTAGGATGGCCAGGTGGAAGCCGTGAATCCAGATCATGTCCCCCTCGTGGAACACCTCCACGACCTGATCGATATCATGCATGCAGGACATGATTGGATATTGCCGAAAGCACGGAACAACCAGCAGCAGCCTGTACAGCTAGATAGACCATGCCAAGCACACGTACACGTACGTCACAACCGCGCTTTCCACATCCACTAAAATAAGATTGCCTTCTTTTCAACCCAAAAACATTCGAAACCGCTTCTATATCTCGAGTGTCGCAAGAAAATGATGTTACCAACTTAGGAAAACAGACACCGGGGCGACTGGACGTATGTATGGACTGGAGCGAGGTACGATAGTCCAATGCCCCTGAGCCAACGCACGCTGCTACATACTTGGAACATGCGTACTATCCCCAAAAGGCTGAAAAAAATCGCCCTCGTGGCAAATACCAAAAGAAAAAGTCGTCAAACAATCATGCTGCGTGCACGGGCCGTTCGTGTACACAGCACGAAAATAAATCGGCATATCATCGATCACGTTGAGTGCTAGTTGTAAGGTAAAAGTATCGCAACACAGAAGAGGTCCTTGCTTGGTGCCGGCTGAACAGTGCCGGGCAAAAATGTGGGCAGGAGTGTCCACTCCAATATGCTAAATAAAACCTACCACTCTGTTCGGAAATATAAGGACCATTTGGATACTAACGAGATTATCCCAATGGTCCGTATATTTCAGAATAGAATGGTTACATCACTGTCCTGAATAGTGCCGGTGTCCGGCATATTGTAGTGTCGGCGAATTTTCTGGGCACGCTCTGTTCCGGCATGAAACAGGGGCCTATAGAAGCCGAAATCAAACCATCAGACTAGTCAGCGGCTGACTAGTTCTAACGGTTTGATTTCGGCTTCTATAATAAAAGTTAGTCGTGGGTTCGTGAGCCCCGTCACTTTCACTTCCGAGGAAACTAGTTTAATGGTTTGATTTCGGTTTCTATAGGCCTCTACTCTACTTTATACTGACCTTGTCCCTGAAGGCGCACTCTGTTCGGAAATATAAGGACCATTTGGATACTAACGTGACTATCCCAATGGTCCCAATATTTCAGAATAGAATGGTTACATCACTGTCCTGAATAGTGCCGGTGTTCGGCATATTGTAGTGTCGGTGAATTTTCTGGGCACATACTCTGTTCCGGCACAAAAACAGGGACCTCTACCCTTCTGTATACTCACCTTGTCCCTGAAGGCGCGGTTGACCTGCTTGTAAGCTTGCCATCCTTGCGTGATCGCCGCGTCGTCCAAGAGGGAGTTCGGGAGGTCGTCGTACATCTCCAGCATGCCGTGCATCACCTACACAGTACAGCGCAGTACGTGTGGGTGAGTGGTAAACAGGATCAATCAACGCTGCTAAATAATAGCAACCTGTGGCAACAGCAGTATGCCAATGAATGTCATGCTTAACACACGATGCCCTTCGTCGGCTTAAGAGGGAGTTCGAAAGGTCGTCGTACTGTACATCTCCAGCACGCCGTGCATCACCTACACCATGTGCAAGCAAGTCATGGGTGACATACTAGAATCAACGTTGTTGGAAACGTGCGGTAAGCGCTACCAATGAATGCCATGCAACGTTCCTGGAAAATGTTTGGAACATTTCCCGGACCGGTCTTCATTATACAGCAGTATCTCTGTGACCGTTTATTCTTCCCCTATAGTGTGGGATAAGACAGCGGCTACACCTCCCGCGGCTGGTGAAGGCACCCTTTCCAAGACTAAGTCCACCTCCTTCAAATGGCAAGTTGAAGGTGTTCAATGTTTTATCCCATACTATAATATACAAAGAGATTCTCCGGCTAGAGCCCTCGAAATGGCTCCCCCTGCCCTCAACGAATGCGTCGAAATCCAACACATGATGCGACCGAGTGCGGAAAATAAAGGCCGAGGACCCTGGAACGTCTCGCCTACAGGACATCTTCATTGCCGCGTGCGTGCATCGCCAGTTTTCCTCCATCGCCCATCGACTACACGTACTGCATCAAGACGCAGGGGGGGGGCACCACAGACAGGAAACCAGAGTGTAGGAGGTCTTACCGGCCACAGGACCCCTTTGCAGTAGCTGTAGTAGCACTGATGTGTGATCGACTTGGTCAGGAAAACCGGCACGCAGTTGAGCTTCAGAAGGGCCTTCACCACCGCAGGCTGGAAGACAACCGTACCATAACCGCACAAGAGCAGTAGTACCATGGGATAGGGATGACACACGGATTGAACAGTGTATGCATGGCTCAGATAACCAGACCGGAGGGAGGTCTATCTACATGTCCATGAAATAGCAGCACCCATGGGTACGGGGTGAGGTTAGATTGGAGTATGACGCAGCCAAGCTCAAACGTGGGTCCGTTCATGGATCATGTGCGCCAATAGTCGCAATTCCAATACAGCACACGGACGGTAAAAGGTACTTAGTACTGAGAGAACGAT